GATAGCAGAGGCATTCCAAAACTGGGTGTTCAAGGAAGTCCTTCCATCTATCCGTAAAACAGGATCATATGAATTACCAGATAGAAGATCACTTAGATATAACCAAATGATTCTTATAAATGAAACGGACCTTCATCATACCATTGTGAGTTACATCAGGAATAACTACCCAGAGGCTGTAATAGTACCTGGCCTAGGTGAGTACCAGGATACGGTGTCAAGGAGATGCGACGCCTGGAAGAAGGGATACAAGGGTGGTCAGCCGGATCTTATTATAGAGAATCCTATGGGAAAGTATAAAGGATTTGCTGTTGAATTTAAGTCTCCCAAGGGCACTGGGATTACAAGTGAGAAGCAGGAAGTATGGCTTAGAAAACTGAGTGGAATAGGATACATGACAATGATATCCGACGACTTAGTGAAAACTTGTATTAGAATTAACGAGTACTTCTCACTTAAGAAACCTGTAAGAAAAGTTGCAGTGAAAAATATAGTTAGCGATGTAAAGACGTACAGACCAAGGTTCAAATCACATAAGTACTAAGTTTACTTTCAAGTAGATTTGAGACATCTTACCAGTAGATTTGAGTTATCCCACCAGTTATCTCACCAGTAGATTTAAGTTATCTTACAAGTAGATTTGAGACACCTTACAAGTAAATTCAAGTTATCTCACAAGTAGAATTCAGGATATCTCATAAGACGAAACCCAGTTAAACCTAAGGTATCTTACAAGTAGAATGGAAGATAAACCTGAGCAAATTCAAGCACAAGTAACAAGTGAGAAGAAGAAAGACCCAAAGAGAGTAGCTGCAGGAAAACGATTAGCCGCAATCAGCAAAATAGCAAAGGAGAGAAAAAAACAACTTGCGGAACCTAAGGAGTCACCAGGTAATGATAGTATGATTACCTACATAGGAGTGGCCATTGCACTGATATCTCTAGTGCTAGCATACACGTCGCATCAGAGGGAAACCAAGGAACTAGAACCTAAGCACACAACTGAGACTGTCGAAGTAACTAGGAAAGCTGACGAGTCTAAGTTAGATTTACTTGAATGATACATTAAACATACTATATATTATAACAGGATGAGTAAAGAATCAAAGATGACTATGGACGTGTACAACGCAGTGTTGCTAACAGCAGGCGCAGTTGGTATTTCAATGGCATCAAAGAAACTACTAAAAGAACCATTAGGCACCCCAGAGAACGTAAAAGGAATGGCGAAGTTAGCTGTCTCAGTTAGTCTTTCATCTCTACTGGTCTCCTACCTGAAAGATAAGAAGTACCTACCAGATGATCCATTCAAAACCTAGGTAAGATTATACAATGGCAGGAGCAGTAGCAGGAGGACTCTTCAATGCATTTGCATTTGCGGGAGCAGGATACCTATTTAAAATATTTGATAAGAATGGATACGCTAAGGAAGCTCATAGACACAACCTTGCAATGGAAAACCTAACAGCTGAAAGAGAGAAGTACCTTGAGGAAGTCACTGCTAGAAGAAACAGAATTGCTCAACTAAAGTCAGAACTAGCTAAGGCGAATAGGGATATTAACGCAACAAATAAGGCATTGGAACTCATCAGGAGAATCAATGAGTTAACACGTAAGGCTATGCCAAGAAAGCCGCAATTGAGCAATCACTACAAACCCAGCTTAGAGATGGAAGAATATATGGCAATCTTTGGATTAATCACTGGTGGGGTGGTTGGAGAGGCAGCTTACCTAATGATATAATATTGTAAATAAATACGATAAAAAATTTCTACATATATAGTATAGAGGAATGGAATGGTTAGAGATGGTGACACCTAATGAAATGGTAAAAGTAGGTAAGAAGGCAAATACACTGGAAGAGCTAGAAGCTGTAGTGAGAAAGTACGCAGAGAGCAGAATAAAAGCAAGACATACATATGATCCTATATGTAGTGAATGTGGTAGTAAGTCTATTGTAATAATGGATGGAGCAGATGTATGCACACAATGTGGTACAAGTGACAGGAATGGCTTTACATACTATGTTAGTTACAACCACAACAAGGACGACTACCTGAAAAAGAAGTCTTGTCATAACAGAGTCCGTTGGTTTGAGAGACACTTATTAGAGCATGTTGCTTCAGGGGATAGGGATACCATACGGGAGCAGTTCAGAAGCATCGTAAGATGTATACAAAGACTTAGACTGCAACGGGGGCGCAACATAGTTAGATATAAGTTTTACCTACTGAAGATAGCCAGCATTAACAACATCACGTTAAGAAACCCTCCTGAGGACATTAAGACCAAAAGAATTGTGGACATCCTTGAGAATAGGTTATATAGTAAAGTCTTCCCCGAGTTGGGATGGAAACCTATAAATTGTAAATATTATAATAACTGGAAATTAAAGAATAAATTATAAATTAAATAAAATATAAAATTATAAATTAAATAAAATATAAAATTATTAAATTAAATAAATCATAAAATTATTAATTAAATAAAAATATAAAATTATTAATTAAATAAAAATATAAAATTAAATGTTAAATAAAATAAAAATATAAAATTAAATGTTAAATAAATTATTAAATTAAATAGACCTTTTAATAGGTCTATTTTTTTTTACATATAGTATATAGAGAGAGAGAGTGAAAAAAATGGCGACAAACTTTGACTTAAACGATTTAACTGTAGAACAACTTATGGCCCTCAGCGAGATAGTTGACGATAGTGATGGTAGTGACATTGATGACAAAGTTGAGGAAATATTCACGGATGAGTTCTATCGAGTCGCACCTAAGGATAAGGGCAAAGATCCCTTTGAAGGACAAAGACAATTCATAGACGAAGGCGACCGTTCTACGGATCCTAAGAAACCAAGACGACTCCCACTTAACTATAAAGGTAGAAGAGGAATTATGCCGACATGGAAGTATTCCGAGAAACAAAAGGCTAAGGCTCTACTCGTTGAGGAGGCATATCAGAACTTACTAAGTAGGGGAGCCAAAGGTTTACCACCAACAATGGGAGGAAGATGGCGAACAGACGATCCACAGGTAAATGCTGAAATTAAGAGACTCGAAAATGAGAGGAACCCTAAGCGTCCCAGAGGAAGACCACCGAAGCCTAAGTCTGATGTAGAAGCAAAGGTTCCTAGAGGAAGACCAGTAAAACCTAAGACTGATGCTAAAGTTGTGATTCCTAAAAAGCGTGGGAGGCCACCGAAGCCTAAGTCCAACGCTGAAGTTGTGATTCCCAAAAAGCGTGGAAGACCACCGAAGACTAAGGTAGTTGAAACACCAAAACCTAAGGTTAAAAGGCAAACCGTTGCTGAAAGATTCATAAGTCAAAACAGGATTAAACTTTCAGTTCCTGCAAATAGTGTTATTACTCCAACAGGTCCAGGTAAGTTCACAATCCACGTGAATCTTAATAAGAAACCCACAAGGAAAGCTCCTGAAGTACCAGAGGGTGTAGCTCCCTGGAAACCAACACCTAAACCTAGGGAAAGGCCAATTCCTAAACCAGGAACTATATTTCCTAGGGAAAAACCCACTCCTAAACCGAGAACTATATTTCCCAGGGAAAAACCAACTCCTAAACCTAGAACCAAAAAAACAGTGCCTCCTCCAAAGCTACGAAAGCCCGCGAAAGTGACCAAGGAAGTTGGGGAACAACCTGTAGTGGTTACACCAGAGGAACATGAAATTGATCCATTTGGAACATACCTTGAAAAGCCATCCTACAGGAAAATAGAAACTGCCGCAAACGGAGCAGCTGTGACCTACTCAATAACTCCAAACTATATGGATCCCCTAGACCAGATGACAGCAAGTAGGCAGGTGGTGAGGGGAATATTGGTAAACGAGCTGAAAAGAATGGGAGGTTTAAAATACACCGAAACAATTAAGGTAAGAATGTCAAAGGAAATCGGTAATGACAAAACAAAGAAGGATTCAATATACTCCAAGTCGAAAACAGGAACTGCAACCAACTTCAAGGATATCGAAAGCACTGCTGCACAAAACCAACTGACAATTTTATCAAGAATTGAAACATTCCAAAACTTAGGTTCAAACTGGATCATATTAAATATTGAAAGCCACTACGTTAACATTGCAATGTATAAACCTCTAAAGGGTAGTTCATATATGAAATTACCCGCAGACATTAGTAATCCAAAATGCGGTCTCATTAATATGAAAAACAATGACAACAAATGTTTTATGTGGAGTCATGTGAGACACGTAAGACCTAAGGCTAGGAGAGCAACAACCATAACACGACAGGATGTTGAGTTCGCGGAAAACCTAGACTATGAGGGAATAGACTTCCCTGTGAAAATAAGCGATATTGACAAAATTGAGAGAAAGAACTGTATAAGTATATCAGTGTTCGGTTATAAGGGTAAAAAGCAGTTCTACCCAATAAGAAACTCCAAGACAAAATACGACGAGCATATGGAGCTGCTACTACTAGGTGATGGTGATGGTAACAACCACTACGTTCTAATAAAGGATGTAAATAGAATGCTCTTCAGCGTAAGTGGAAACTCAAACAAGAAACACTTCTGTCTGCATTGTCTTCATAGTTGCGTAAGTGAAGAGTCACTGGAAAAACACAAGGAGACATGTATCGAGGTAAATGGAACTCAGGCCACAAAGCTTCCAAATGAGGGTACAAAAATAAAGTTCAAAAATCACAGGAACTCAATGCCTGCACCATTTGTGATATACGCTGATTTCGAGTCCATACTGGTTCCAGAAGAAAGAAAAGCTGATTTTGAAAACTCTGAGGACAAAAGTACTACAGACCTTTACCAGACACACAAAGCCTGTAGTTTTGGGCTAAAAACAGTATGCCATTATGATGATCAGTACTCCGGTGAATACATAAGTTATGTTGGTGAAGACGCTACACTAGTCTTCCTGAAGACCGTACTAAAGGAGTCCATTAAGTGTCGAGAGATGGTCAACAAAATATTCAAGAAAAAGATGGTAATCACACCGGAACAAGAAGCTGAGTTCTGGATGACAAGAAACTGCTCCATATGTGGTAACGACTTGGGTGATGATAGAGTGAGAGACCACGATCACATAACTGGGCTGTTTCGTGGAGCCGCCCATAATATGTGTAATTTGAAGTATAGAATCACATGGAAAGTTCCGGTGGTTTTCCACAACCTAAGAGGCTATGATAGCCATCTAATAATGCAGGAGATCGGTAAATTTAAGATGAACATCAACGTGATCCCAAATAATATGGAAAAATATATTTCCTTCTCACTAGGTAAAAGTCTTGTGTTCATTGACTCTATACAGTTCATGGCTTCTTCTTTGGAAGCACTCGTGAGCAACCTTTCACCTGAGGACTTCAAGATAGTTGGTAAGAGGTGGAAAGGTGAGGACTTCAATCTTGTGACACAAAAAGGTATATTCCCATATGAATACTTAGATGACATCAGTAAACTTAGTGCTGAGGGGCTTCCAAGTAGAGATAAATTCTACTCATCTCTTTACGAGTCGGAAGTGAAAGAAGAAGATTACCAAAGAGCGCTAAAAGTATGGGATCACTTTAAGATGAAAACCATGAGAGACTACCACGATCTCTACCTGGAAACTGACGTTCTTCTTCTAGCAGATGTCTTCGAGAACTTCAGGAGAACTTGCTTGGAAAATTACAAGCTTGACCCTGCACACTACATATCAGCACCAAGTCTAAGTTGGGACGCCTTCCTAAAACAGTCAGGTGAGGAAATAGAATTGGTAAGTGATATGGATATGTTCCAGTTCTTTGAGAAGGGAATGAGAGGTGGTATAAGTCACATTGCTCATAGACACTCAACGGCCAAAAGTACATGGAAACGTACGACGAAGAGCTTGAAAACAAGTACCTTATGTACCTCGACGCCAACAATTTATATGGCTGGGCAATGTCACAACCACTACCTAACGGTGAGTTTGAGTGGGTCGAGGAATTCGATGGAACAAACCTAGATGATTACCTCGGAGACAACGGAAGGGGTATGGTTCTAGAGGTCGACATGGAATATCCAAAGAAACTTCATAATCTACACAACGGTTATCCGCTAGCACCGGAGAGCAAAGAGATTGGTGCTTCAATGTTGTCAGACTACGCGAAGGATATTGCTGATAAATTTCAGCTGACAATTGGAGGAGTAAGAAAACTGGTGAACTCGCTAGGTCCCAGGAAAAACTACGTCTTACACGCCCGTAATCTGAAACTCTACACAGAACTCGGAATGAAACTCACGAAGGTTCATAGAGCCGTCTCATTCAAACAGTCCCCTTGGCTTAAGAACTATATCGACTTCAATACGAAGAAACGGTCAGCCGCACGTAACGCTTTTGAAAAGAACTTCTTCAAATTAATGAACAACTCAATCTATGGAAAGACTATGGAAAATTTGAGGAAAAGAGTTGACGTAAAATTAGTGTCATCGGAAAATGACCTCCTAAAACTTACAGCGTCACCGTGCTTCCAATCGCATAGAATTATGAATGAGAACTTAATAGTGGTAAAGCGAATGAAGGAAGTTCTAACTCTAAACAAACCATGCTACGTTGGAATGAGCATCTTAGACTTATCAAAGACTCTAATGTACGACTTCCATTATAACACAATTAAGAAGGAGCACGGCGACAGGTCAAAGCTACTGTTCACAGATACTGACAGTCTAATGTATGAAATAAAGACTGACGATGTGTATGAGGACTTCAGGAGGATCGGTGAGGAGAAGGACTGCTGGGACAACTCAGACTATCCGAAAGATTCCCCATACTACTCAACTCACAATAAGAAGGTGATTGGTAAGTTTAAAAATGAAGCTGCGGGAGTACCAGTGATAGAATTTGTAGGGCTAAGGTCGAAGATGTACTCATATGTAAAGGAAAGTGGCGGAGGTGGAATGACCGCAAAAGGAGTGAAAAAGTACGTGATCAGAAACAAACTCACTCACGAAAACTTTAAGAACGTAATCAAGACTAGAGGTAGGATGAGACATAAGATGAACACAATCAGAAGCATCAAACACAAAATTGGAACTTATGAACTGAAGAAAATCACACTTAGCTGTTTCGACGACAAAAGGTACTTACTTGAAGATGGTATTACAAGTTACGCGTACGGACACCGCTCAATAGGAGAACTGAACGCTGAGGTGCTGATTGAAGAAAAAACTGAACCAAGCTGTGTACTAGTAAGGGCTAAACCTGAAAGTGAATACAGCAGACTCGAAGAAGCATTAGAACTCTATGAAGGACCTCCTTGGGAAAATCTAGAACCAAAAGAAGAGAAACATATTCCCAGACCAGAATATAAAGTAGTGATTCCCCTGAAGAGGTTTAAGTTCAAAAAACCAACACCGTTGAGGGTAGTCGTAACTGATGAAAATCATCTAAGGAAAAACTACGACATACTACCAAAAGAACAAAAGGAATACCTAAGAATGGTGTTGAGTGAGAAAGCGGAGTCCCTAGGTGTTCAAGTTATAAGAACCCCAGGAAGTGACAAGCTGATTGTATTAGGATTTTAAGTAAATTGTTAAATAAAGAATTTAGAGATTAGATGAAAGTTGACCGAGAATCTTCAACGCTGAAAATGAGGGATCCGAGATTCTTGACAAGTGGTCTAGAAAATTTGACGAGAATACGGTAAGATTTCGGTGATATAAAAGTGAAAATTAAAAAAGTGATGGTACAGCGCAAACCAGATAGTGGTCTAGAACCCTCATTCCCTATACTACTATTTTTCTTTCGTGTGCTTCGTTAATGAAATATCCAGAAGAGGCCGACACAGCAAAGGTGCGAGTTCGCAAGTACTCATTGTACGTATTCTGAATATTCGTGTTCGGCATTGTACGTGTTCGGCATTGTAAAATAAACTTTGGAAGTGTCAAAGTAATCATGAACCTTTCCTTGGGTTAATTGTTCGTCGAAACACATTGTCAGAGTCATTGTTGCTGTCCTGGGAGAAGCACTCGGAGAAAGCTTTTCGCTGGAAAATATGTGGAGACGATATGTTCATGTCGCGGCTTCTGTTTTCGATAGAGAGCCTGCAAAAGGATGCAGTTTTTGCTCAAGCGCGTGCCACGAATAGGGTTTTATATATGTATGAACAATCGAAGGGTTCAAGAACGTGACAGTATTAAACCAGACGGTGAGTTTGTATTATTGCTATTAGTTATGTACTGACACTGTTCGTTTATATACTGTTCGTTATAAACGTGATTCGTACATGTAATCTTATTATTTTCGCTCATTGTAGTTTATACATGTTTCGTTTACGCAAAAAAATGGCCTGAGCAATGTTCATTTGAGAATATGTAATGTTGTTCATTGTGACTGTTGACTCTAAACGAAGGATAATGATCATCTAACAATAGATCAATAAACTTTGTTTAGATAGTTTAATACTTTGCCTGCCAAGAATATGCACATAGATTTGAGTGACAGTACATTTTTGAAAGCTTTAACACATATGATTTGTTTTATTAGTACGCTGCATAATTATGCATATCCTTGCCAAGCAAACATACATGTCCAATACCTATGCAAGATGTCCAACGGAATAATCAAAAGGCCATTGGACATTCCATTTGTCAAATGGATCAAATGGACCTCCAATTTTCCATTGGACTTTTGCGTGTCCATTGGATCCAATGGACAAATGGAATGTCCATCGGAACTATGCATCACCCGAATAACAGACCATGTGAAGGTTGCCGATCGGAACAATGCATCAACCGGATAAGAGCTTCCGCGTTTTTACCATTACGTAATTAACAGGTTGCAACACTCCATGTGGACATGATTATGAAACCAGAGAGATGTTCCAATGGTCCAATGGACCAGTTATTGTCCAATGGAATTTTACCTGTCCATTGGATCCAATGGACAAAATAGCCTTTCCATTGGAAAATTACCTGTCAATTGGTCCAATGGGAAAATAATATGGAAGTCAATAGACATTTCTTATATCAATAATATAACAATATGTTATTGCTTCGTTCTTAAAAACTCACGCAATATATCATATAGCAATATATAATATGTTGTTGTTTCTTTCTTAAATTAAGAAACCTACACGCAATATATCAATATAATATGTTGTTGCTTCGTTCTCAAGAAACCACATTTATATAACGCGGAAAGGAAAGATCCTTATATCAATCATGATATAATTTGTTGTAATTGCTTCGTTCTTAAGAAATCACGCAATATATCAATATAATATGTTGTGATATGTGATAACGTTCGCTTAAGAAACGTTTCTTTCTTCTCAAGAGACGCGCAATATATCAATATAATTTTCCTTCGTTCTCAAGAGACAACATTCATGGCACGGGAACAGGAAGATCCTTATATCACTAATATAATATATTGTTGCTTCGTTCTTAAGTCAAGAATTAACTCACGCACTATATCAACATAATTTTGCTTCGTTCTCATGGGACCATGCATGCGTACATAACACGGGAACGGGAAGATCCTTATATGAACAAATAAATATAATATATAATGTTGTTGCTTCGTTCTTAAGAACTAACGCAATATATCATATAGCAATATAATAATGTTGTTCTTTCCTTCTTAAATTAAGAAGCCTACACGCAATATATCAATATAATATGTTGTTGCTTCCTTCTCAAGAGATTAACTGCATCCAATGGAAAAATAATATGCAAGTCAATAGACATTTCTTATATCAATAATATAACAATATGTTGTTGCTTCGTTCTTAAGAACTCGCGCAATATATCAACGTAATTTTGCTTCTTTGTCAAGAGACGTACACACGCGTACATAACACGGGAACGGGAACATCCTTACATGAATAAATAAATATAATATGTTGTTGCTTCGTTCTTAAGAACTCACACAATATATCATATAGCAATATAATATGTTGTTGTTTGTTTCTTAAATTAAGAAACCTTCACGCAATATATCTATATAGCATAATATGCTATATATATATGTCGTTGCTTCGTTTTCAAAAACCACGCAATACATCGTATATCAATATAATATGTTTTTATTTCTCTCTTGAAGTTGCGTTCACACTACAAGCCTTCGCTTGGCCTTGGCCTACATTTTGGCAGTGTAAAGTGTAAACAGACTTTGGCCTAGCCTTGTCCTGACCTATAGCCAGGAAATCTGGGCAACTACAACCGGTGACCTAGGCATGGCTTACGCTTGTGGGAATGTAAACACTTACTGCCCAGGCCTTGTTTTTATGGCAACGTGTGTCCACAGGGCACAGTTGAGATATTATCGGACGAGCGGACAACGGGCAACACATATAAATACAAAAAATTAATTACAAAATTCTAGACCAAATTCAGCCAGTCTCAAAAAAATAATGTAAGGGTGTAAACGCGGCACATTTACCAAGGCTTGTAGTGTAAACAGGACTTTAGTGAAAGCTGCTAATACTACCGCTGATGCGCAGGATACAGTATAACCGTCGTGGGAACAGACTATAAACTCACAAAGTCTTTGGCAGTGTGTGAATGGGCGACTTTTTTGTCGGAATACGACGTGTTATCATGCATTTAATTATAACGTTTCCTTTAATTAATTGCCTCCGCCATAGACTTTACATCTTGTTGCGCTCTGCCTATATGTAGTTCACTTCATTTCGAACGCAAAGTTCTATTAGTTGTTTTCTCAAAATCTCAATGCATGGTTTAGATATGAGGATGGACATGTATAAATATATTCTAGGGTTTGTTGAAGAATTA